CTTTTTCTATGTCTGTGTGTGGGGGTCTATAATATCTTAAAAATTGTTGATGTAATTGATGGATGCCCCCTAAACACAAATGTTTCAACAATTAATTTCACATATTTATTAATAAAAGGAAAGAGATCAGAACCAAGAACTCATTCAAGTAGCTACAAAATTGGAATACAATTTTCTAACATTGAAATGTCCATTGAAGTTTTAAAGATAAATCTAGCATCTCTTCTCATTGGAACCATAAATGAGGTAACAGCTATTATTAGTTATTTGAACTTATTTGTCTGACTATTACTTAAATTTTTTTTTTTAAATTTCTGTCTTAATACAATTTTTTCAAGAATATGATTTCAGCTGTTTTCCAAGGATTTAAATTTAAATGTGGAGAAATGTAAGCTGGTTTTCCCACATAATAATAATAATGAAGTTTCTTTGAAAATTACGCTTCATCCCCAAAGGCTCGAAGCGCGGTACAAAGTCAACCATATTAAAAGAGAAATGAAAAAAATCTCTATTATACCACATTGAAATACAAAACACAACATTAAAAAAACTACATACGGTACGAGAATACCCATTCGGAGTCTTTCATCCCTTGCAACCATAAACAACACAGGCCAATATACATCTAGGAGATAATAGCCAGCTGGAAAAGATGGTGGACAACATCAACGCAGCAGGTGTTTGCCAAACAGATGTGTTTTCAATTCGGTTTTGAAAGACTCCAGTGTCTGGCTGTTTCTGAGAACCACAGGAAGTGTTTTCCAAATTGTTGGGCCAGCAAATGCGAAAGAGCTTGACTTCAAAATGACTCAAAATATTTATGCAAAAGTGTTATTAATTGCTTATTACATCCCATATTCAAGTTTAGAGTGGTAAGGTGATAATATGTTATGTTAAGACAATAAGGTAAAGAGGTTATAAATTTAATAAAGTTTGTTTCAGAGTATGCTATTAAGAAACATCTTTGTTTTATTATTTGTATGATGGGTCTCAATCGCTTTTCCTAGTGAAATTTGAATTTTTGAAACATCTCCTTGACTCCATATAATTTCAGTGTGATAAAAAAAAATTATCCACA